TCTTAATATTGAATCGTTGTGTGTGCGTTTTCTCAGTCCTGAGGAGGTCCAGAAGTTCACGTTTGTTTGGTAAATGGTCATTTTCTGCTCCAAACTTTTTCTAAGTTTAAAAAAACTTGGAGGAATATTATTTTGGGGAAAAAAAAATCAATGAAGCCTTGCCCTCCATCAAAAACAGGCACTAACGGCTCATTATTAGCCATGCAGACCCATTGAATCCCCTCCAAGCTTTTACTGTAAAATGTGGCAAAGACATTACCTTACTCGTTTCAGGACATTTAGTAGCGAAATAAAGTGTACAGTGTATTGATTCAAAATGATCTCAGAAAAATAAAGGAGAGGGAATACTGTGCGTCTTCCAGGATCCGGTTAAGGCTGTGACATGCAGCTTTGAGCACTTACAAAAGAGATTTAAGGTTATTTACATAAAAAAGAATTATGAGGTGAAATACATCACACATTATCTCTTGTAACTCGCTGCGATTTGTCTTTCAGTTCCTTTGTGCGATTTTTAAATCAGGCTTCTACGGTGGATTTTCATCTCTGCTCTTTCACAGAGAAGCTAAAGATGAGCAGTGTTTGCCCTCATTTCTCCCCAGGTGGAAACATAGAGAGCCGCCAATGCAGCATAATAAAAACAGGATATTGATACTGTGAAGGAGCTCCTTCTCACCTCATGAGAAATCACAACAAGGTTTATGGACGCCATCAGCTTAGGCGAGGAAGCAAAAGATGTTTGTGTGTGTCTTTGTGTTAGAAAGGTGCATGATTGTAATAATGCGCACATACGCTGTGATTAAAACTACTAAGCATTAATATAGTGTTCAAAATCAGCATACATTCAGGGCATTATTTAGGAGGAGGCTGAAACTTATTATATAAAAGTAATCTTTTGTATCTTGAGGAATTAATCTAATGGAATGAATTAGCCGAATGTTCCCTTTTGGATCGAGCTACATATCCTCCAGACGAGGCATTTGATCCCTGAATGCTCCAGTGGGGCTGCTCAGAGGCGAACAGTGGAAGAAGAGAGGTTGTGTTGGGCAGCTCCTAGGTATGGAAACATGCAGACGTAGGACAATTAAGTGAAGCAACGCTGAAAGAACGCATATGTCCGAAAGGTTAGAAAACATGTCACATGACATAAGAGGATGTTATAGAGAAACGGCCTTATGACAAACGACAGGCAGCTCTCGTCTAATGAGAAAGGCTAACTCTTTCTTTGGGCCCTGAAGGATCTACCTCTATTCAGCCTCGCTCTCTTCTTCTTCACCCACTCCACATCGCCTCCTTCAAGCCTTCAGATGACATTTACACATGGTCAGCTGATCCTGACCGTCTGCTGAACGTTTCTCAGCAGCACACTATCTTCCTTATATGCATGCTTTATGAACACTGACTGCAGGGGGGGGACCTTTAAAGAGGCTTTTTTTTCCACATGTATTCACAGAGACCGAGGAGGTAGCACCTGTGTTGATGCAGCAAGAAAAGAGATAAGCTCAATTATAAGGTCATCTGATAAACAGATTTTGTTTTGGTCTGTCTGTTAATAAAGCAGTCAGTCATATTGATATTGAATGTTGTCTATGAGAGAGTTGCAGCGTATTTCGGGCAGATATGTCACAGATCAGATCTGAAGCTTTGAAGTAGCAATAGGCAATGCAAGGCTACTTTATTTAAATAGCACATTTAGCGCATAAAGGCAACTAATTGTGAAATGTTTGAATAAATATTTTTGTGTGAAAGAAGGTCAAATTAAAGTGTTTTGTACATTTTAATTAATTAATTGATGCTAACTCCAAGAATTATAATATAGGACTGATGATTTAAACAATGTTCACTAAAGTTATGATAGTGATGGTTTATTGTGGTCCCTGGTTACACTGTACGGGATTTTTAGATCTAAGTTAATATTGGAGAGTTTGAAATAGTCCGTAATACTGTCAATAATTTATTTCACAATAGCTGAAGTTGTAATTTGTTTCAACACTTCTAGAAATTAGAAGCAGTATGCATTATCAGATGTTAGGTGAACCTGACTCTGAATAAACGGCATTCCTCCGTCTTCATCATTCTCCTCTGCTCTCTTCATAGATTTAATGACTCTTTTTAACTGGTGGTTGTCAAACCTTTTGATTCACACTGGCACTATTATATCAGATAATGCACTTATTGCTAACATCTAAAAATAGTACCTTTTTATCACTTCACAAGGTGCATAAGTTCTACAATATCCTCCTCCAACAGAATGGCCTGTTGTTCAGTATAATTAGAGTCTGCAGGTCTGTCGTCCAGCAAACAAGATTAGCTTCCCTTGTTGTCATTTTATCCCATCAGAACACAGCAGATGCTAATCACATATACTTTGGGGGAGAGAAAAGAGGCCTTTAAGGAAAGATGTTGGATTCTTTGCCTCTTTAAATTTTGCCCTGGGTTGATCATCTGTTGAGGGAGTACAGGCCAGATTTGTTACTGCTCCACAGACTGATAACAGGATGTTTGTGTTTGGCTGCTTGTGTGTCTCTGGGATAATGTTTAGTACTGTTTGGACTGGCTAAATGCAGGCCAATAGGAAACGTCTTGGCAGCGTATTATTAAATGAGATTGGTTTGCTGCGGGGGGTGCCAGATCAGAGATAGAGGAAATTACACATTAAGCTAATGCAATTTCACACAAGGATGTCATCTCAGAGCAAAAATGCATTTTTAGCGTCTAACTATAGACACAAATGTTACTATGTCACGCTTACATTGACTGTACATTCCCATATTTTACATTTCGAGGAAAGCTTTTCAGTATTGATGTTCGTTTTTCAACTACCAGCTGTTGTACAACAAGGTAGTTACTAAATATTTCTAGTGCAAATGGCTTTTGATTTCATATTGAGTAGACTAAAAGGAACCAAACACTTTTTTTCTGTCTTCTGCCGTGCCATTAGCATAAAATGACACATTTGGTTGTTAGAGTGGGGGAACAGCACGAGCTCATCAACATCACTTCCATCATTAAACCCTTGAGTGGTGCTTTTTAAATGCTTTGTTTTTCTCCGCCGACTCTGGTGCACATCTTCAAGGGCCTCTTTCAATTTAGTGCTGATTAATTGGGTGAGCTCATGGAAAAGGCTGTTGCTCAAGTATAAATATTTGGTGCTCCATCCATTGGAAAGACTAATAGAGGGAGCTAAGTAAGAGCCATCTGTAAAAAAAAAAAAAAAAAAGCACAAACCTAAGCTTTTTAAGTTTTTCACATTTAGCTTTTGTTAAATATGAGTATAAAGAACAGAAGCTCTCTATCAGTCTCTCTTTTTTTTTTCAAAAGAAAATTATTTTATGCAAATAATGATTCATTCTTTGTAGCTTTGAACTTGCCTTTCATAACATAGCAGCTGTTTCATGATGTAACATAGCTAGTTAGCATGGACTCATTAGCAGTCAGTCTTGAAGGACGAGTGAAAAACTGTCTCTGATGTCTGAAGTCTTTCTCTGTTACCTCATCCAACACCACATCCTACTCCCTGGGAGTCTCTTGCTGCAGACGGAGGACGTATCAAAATGTCCCTGCTGTGGCATAGAATGGACACGTTGGTTTCAGGGATTTTAAAAAGCTAATGCCCATTTAAGAAAAGTCAGCTAGGATTGAAGACTGTGAAGAATCAGTGATCCTGGAATACGTTTCAAATCAAGTTAGACCCCAAAACAATCTGTTAGTTTGAGTGCCCTAACTTCCTTAAATCAACTCACACAAATGGAAATCATCTTTAACTGTCTGAATCATTTGCTGCAAGTCTTTCTATGCCTGGATTCTCATCTTCTGACATCTACACATTACAGAAATAATTTAGAAAATGTACTGGCTTTATTGAAAAGTCTATAGCTCTCTAACATGAGTGGAACACCCTAACTGACTGAGTATCTGTGATATTAACAGATACTCACACTGCTGATCTGTGTAAAGATTGCTGTAATTATCCTGTTAAGTAATACATGTAAAATTACTCTCACGTTGCTGTTTGTTCAAGTTAGTTTCCTTTGAATCTTATTTGTATTCATTGCTTTGATTAGTACTCTTTATTTTATGAATAGTCTTGTAATGTAGAGGTATTTTGGTATAGGCAATTAGCAACGTTCTATAGGTAATGATTAGATATTTTAAAGGTAAGGTATTTTGTAACAATGAAAACAAATAATTGCAGATAATTATTAAACAGAACACATATCTGTTTGAAAAAGAGTGATTGAGGTATGGCATCAGTCCTCTTACACATTGGAATGAATGTGGTTTTTACTAACTACTTCATACTAATAATAATACTAATATGTGTAAACATATTTGCATATTTTCATATAAATACTTGTTCTCACTCAGTTCTACTTGCTTGCTTTAAAATGCCATAAAGGAGATAAAAAATGTCCTCATAGCTCCTCTTGAAAGCAGAGCCAAAGTTTAGGATTAGTCACAACATATGCCGTAAATATTGTTCAATGGAGTCTGCTAGTTGTGTTCAATTCTGGCATAATACTAAAATAACTTGTGATCAAACTTACCGACAGACTTACCAAATGAAAAGAAGGACACGAAAGTTAAGGACACGAAAGCAGGAAAGGACTTGTAAATCTTCAAGTTCCTTATGTTTCCAAAAATGTGATGGATTTGTATTTGTAGTTTTTTTCTAAACCGAACCCCTCCAGTCCGTCTAAATGATGAGAAGAGCAGTTTATGTTCTAAGCTTTGTCTGCAATATGTAACGTTTAAACATGCTTTTTTTTTTTTTTTTTTTTTTTTTTATAAATAGGCCCATGTGTAATCCAGATTCTGTCACTCTCTTATCTCGACTAAACTGGTACTACACGACTGTGGTATATATGGATGCTTATACTACTGTATTGTAAATCCACAATGAACAAGCAGAGTAGCTGAAATACTTCAAATGTACAATCTGCAGGAAACAAACCTATGTGTCTACCTAACCTCTCTTTGTTCTGTCTTCTGTTCCAGAGTGCTCACCTGGCAATGATTGACACCCTGATGATGGCATACACAGTGGAGACAGTGAGCGTGGAGAAGGTGATGACCTGCATCCGTCAGTATCCATCCTCTGACCCTGAGGTGGAAACACCTTACGACACAGACGACGCAGTGGCCACCTGGATCAACGGGGTGTGTATTGTTCTGGGTTATTTCCATTGACAATTTAACTACCTAAGAAAACACATTGAATGCTATAACCAGTAAGAGTTGAACCATATCGTCAACTGAAATCCATCGCCTCGTTTAGTATCTGTTCAAGGAGCAGACAACGTTTTTGTACAACACACAAGGTGATGTGCATACCCTTCCCCGGAGCCATATCTCCCACGTTGGGCTCATAGATCATGAGTTATGAAATTTTTCAGTGCACAGTGGGGTTGCAAGGTATTACCCTGAGAAACTCTGACCTAGATACCATCAAATCTGTTATATGTGTAACACTTTGTTCACATGCCTTGAGGTTATAACACATACGCATGTGCAGATGAACTCAGCGCATAAGAAAACATCCTCTTAGGTATATAAAGGTGGGATTGTTCCATTTTTTTTTTAATTCCCTGCCTTTATAACCTTTTCACAGCATGTTTTTAAGGTGAAGTGTCTAAATACGACTGGCCCTTTGTCATATATTTAATGGGTTGTTTATTTAAATTATCAGTAATGTTTGGGGCGGCTGGTTGTTTCTCAACCAGAAGGTTGGACAACTTGTCCGACGTGTACTTGGGCAAGATACTTAACCCCCAATTACTCCCGCTGCTTCGTCAGAAAACTAGAAAAGCTCCATACAAGCTCAAGTCCATTTACCATTTAACATTTTCAAAAATGTTCATCACAGAAACATTATTTTATTTATTTGAATTTGCATTTCATTGTGTCCTCGGTCTTCTGAGGACAAACAGTAAACAGTATGGTATGTATGAAAAAAAGTGTTTACATCGGCTAACGTTACTCGAAGCCATTATGTTAGGATGAAATGCCATTAACCATAACAGCATGAATCAGATCAGATTATCCACTAAATCAAATAGATTAAAATATTGAACTGTAACACTTGTGGCCAGTCAGTCAGCTTTGTTTCAGTTCCAAACTTTAATATACATATCACATTTGTGTAGGCAAAAATGATGTTTAGGAAAATTTATTTCTACTTACTACAGTATGTATGAACTTGGATACACTGTGTAAATCAGCCTTTTTACTTTTTTTACTAGAGGTGATTTTTTGACACAGCATTAATGTCCAGATGGCTTTGACTTATTCATACAGTGCTGCAGGGCCCTGTCTGTTTACATTCTTTTAGTAGGAACACTGTGCTGCTGCCAGCTCTAAGCTTTACACACACACTCACAATAGCTAACAGGTGTGGTCATGGAGTCGTGCTGGTCAGACATATGGCTCTCTGCTGGAGTCGCTCTGTTTTCCAAAAAGTCTCAAATTCACCATTTTAACTGCTAAAACCTGCTTTGATCAGTTTGAACTTCCAAGAGACATACTGTACAAGCAAACTGTCCAAAGGTCAGGATTATGTGAGATTTTCATTATTAACTCCACTCGATATAAATCAGATTACAATCCAATTTAAATGTTTTAGACAATTAGAAAAACTCCAACATCTCTACCTTTATGGCGCAAACTTCCAGTTTGAACGTGATTCTATTCCTTTTGTATTGTATTCCTATTATTTTGATCTGAAGATGAAGTCTAAGCCTGGTTCTGAACCTATTTTGAGTTCTGCTCATTGGTTCTGCTCTGAGTTTGAATCACGTGTGTCTTCTCTCTCTGTCAGGTAAACGAGTATCTGAAAGACTTCTTAGTCCAGGAGCAGAGGAAGAAGGAAACGCCGAGCAACGAGCCTGCAGGGAGTCCTCGGGTGGGTGTTTCTCTTCTTTCCTTTCCTTTCTTCTCTCACACACACTAACTACACATGAACATACAGATGTCACCAGTTGAATGGACTGCGGCAAACAAGTTAAGTGAAATATCATTGGCTTCACTTTATTTACTGTAGAGCGACGGACACCAGTCCAAGACTTCTGTGTCACTTTAATATCGAGGGCCAGTTTCCTCGACAATATCTGAAACCCCTCAAGTCTCTACGATTGAGGAAAATCACTCACATATGTCAAAGCTTTGGCTTGCTGATCTGTGTTTATTTAATGAGAGAATTCTGGCCAAATCTCTTAAATCACAGCCAGTTTGTCATCCTGAAAAATATAAGCTTTACTCTCTTCATTTGTGCCCTAACCAGCAGATCTGATCTAATTAGGCGGGCCGTCATTTAGTGTGAGGTCACCCATGTCAGGGTGCTGCCTGCTGTCCAACTGTGTTGTATAACTGACTCTTGTATCAGCAGAGAGTTCTATTAGAAGAAGACACTGTGTGTGTGTGTGTGTGTGTGTGTGTGTGTGTGTGTGTGTGTGTGTGTGTGTGTGTGTGTGTGTGTGTGTGTGTGTGTGTGTGTGTGTGTGTGTGTGTGTGTGTGTGTATATTTGTGTCATCTGTGTTTGGATTCTGTAGTTTGACGCTACATCTGCACTAAATTATTCACTGATCCGCTGAGTAATGTAATATGACACTGGTGGGTATAAATCATTTTGAAGCAAATAAAGTAAAGATATTTGTTGATATGAAAAAATGTCACAATTGGGCATTAGACAGCATGAGTGTGTCTGTGTGAGTACAAAATGTCAAGAACACACATGGCACAAATTCCGTTTTCAATATTGCGTCAATTTTAATGACAAAATGGTGTATGGGGTATAATGATCTAAACTGTTTATCATTTTCTGTGTTATCAGCTTTCACTTCACAGAGTACAATGACGTAAATTGAATTAGCATCGAGTTCTTACTTCAAAACACCTGCACATAGAAATGCCAACTGACCGCTGGATAAGATAAATATTTTTCTGTCCTTCTTTGCTGTGCTTTATTGTGTAGAAATCATTCTGAAGAAATGAACATAACATGTGAACACAGAAAGAATAATCTTTTTCTAAGAGAGTTCTTCAGCAGAGTACAGGTAACGAGAAGCGTATGGCTTCATGAGAACTAGCCTCTCAAATATTATATTTTGTATACATTGCGATGAGTTATTGTGGACATTTATGTGAAAATATTTAGTCGGAGCATTTTTATGACTCCATTGAAAGCAACTGACCAAGCAATGGGGGTCATAGTGGGCATAGGGCTGCACAAATAATCACAATTTCACCATTATCACAATGTGAGCGTTCTGGATTTATCTCATTGATACTTAAAATGTAAAACAAGCAATTCTCTCTCTCTCTCTCTCTTTCTCTCTCTCTCTCTCTCTCACACACACTCACTCACTCAACATGTGTACATTTGACCTTTTTTGATAAAGTCAGGTGAAGCTCAGATATCATATACCCTTAGATTACCGTTATTTGCCGATTTAGTGGTGAGAAAAATCCACTTTTTGTATACGGGGGGACAAATAGCAAACACAGGTATTGCATGAATAGCATAGCTAGCAAAGCTAAAATACATTTTTATTTGTGTTTATTTATTGCATTGTCGTTGTTGCAATATTTCATACTTTGATTCAGAATGTGATGTCCTTTTTTTTTTTTGCTTCACTAGCAGTTTTTTTGTTTTGTTTTTCAGAAAGAAAAGCGACCATTGTGTGTTTTTTTTATGTTACTGTTACTGTTTTTTTTAGCAACTTTTATTGACCTCTGAAAGTCATGAACCCCCTCAACACACATTAGATAACCATGAGAGATTTCAGCTCTAATTCATTAGCAGTTCATCCCCCTTTTGTGCAACTCATTAATTTCCCTTTTTTCTACACTTCCCTGACCTTGATCTCTACTCAGACACTTCTCTCCTCCTCCTGGGTTATGCATCCTTTCCTAGCCTGAGTTCTGTCACGGTCGACACACCATGACATAATTCTGCCAGTGATGTTGTTTGGAGAAATGTTCAGAGAGTTAGACAAGTTACCGAAGGGAAAATATCTCAAACTCTGTCCCTTGTGTTTTAGCCTGCAGAGCGTTGAAATGGAACTGTGTGTGTGCGTGTCTGTGTGTGTGCGTGTGTGCGTGTGTGTGTGTGTGTGTGTGTGTGTCCACCCCAGTCCTAGGGTTGTGCAGACTTGTGTGCTTGATGCTGATTCAACCGGTCAGTGTGCAGACGCGGCTCTGCATGCCTCAGCTGTCCCTCATGAATACAGTTGCATAAAAAAAGTGATATGACATCATTTCAGCGTCAAACTTTTTGAATGCTTATTTACAAGATTTTTTTTCCAGAACTAAATGACTGAAGTTACAATAGTTGTTTTTTTTTGTTGTTGTTGTTGTGTCTCAGCTCACTTCCCTGTGTCTCTGACTGAAGCGTGGCTGCTCATGAAGTTCCCGTGTCTTGTTTGTTTGCCCCTGAGCCTTTTAGAGTCGGCCCTTCAGTATCATCCCTTACCCTTGGCAGCTCACACAGATGTGTGTGTGTGTGTGTGTGTGCTGTGGAGGAGTTTAAGCGTGTCTGGATGGTTTCTACGGTCACTTATAATAAAGCTGTACTTTTTCAGATCAATTTATGAACCCTTTTGTCAGCCTGCAGCTTCTCAAACAGACAGATTCTGTCTCTGTCTGTGGTTTTCTCACCTCAAACTTTAAAAAGATTTTACGAGGAGAATCTGGTTTTAAATTTGTGAGTGAACTTGATGATTAAATTGCATGGCATGGCAATTTGCATGTTAAGTCGGGACACTGATGTGAATAGTTGGCGCCAATTTCAAGGTCTTGCACTGTCAGAGAAGTGTTGCATAAAAGACGGCTTGCAGTCTTGTCTGTTAGATTATAACAATGACTTGGCGTCCATCAGTGTTTTTTACATGAGCCTATTGGTTACAAATGCTATTTTGAGTATCATTTCTACTGGACCCAGTGAGTCATCGTTCTCCGACTTTCTCTTTGCCTCCTCTTCCTTTGCAAACAGATCAAAAATAGTTTTGTTTGGTTGGCAAGTGGACAAACAGTTGCAGTACTTTCTGAATTTTTTAGCATATGTTAATGTTCTAGATCTTTCTGACTCAGAGGAAACACACTCATTTATTCCCCTTTTTATTCAGGCCAAACAAAGCCTTAGCATGAGAGTCCCTAGATGTCCTTTTCTGCTTTTTGTGGGCCATTTGTGCTTTTATTAGGACAGTGAAGAGAGACAGGAAATGTAGGGAGAAGAGAGTGGGGTTTCACATGCAGTGAGGGTCAGACTTGAACCCTGCATATAGGGTGCATGCTTCAACCAGCGGGCTAAACTTACTTAATTAGCATCACCCTCCATTAGACATGAGTTGGTTGGTATGAGGCAAAGAAACAGTGTTTCAAAAGTTTAATGAACTTTTGAGTAATAAACGTCAGTCTTTGTGAGGAGCAAAAAAAAAAAAAGATTTTGTGAAAAGAAGACAAAGAAAACAAAGCAACAAACTGCACTGATGTGCAAAAAACTAGTGCACTTCTGTTTTTTTTGCTGATGTTTAGCAGCCCCATCCCTCCCCACCTGCCTTGACCTCCCCCTTTGCAGGATGACTGCAGTGTGAGTCACACAGGCAGCTTTTGTTACAGAGTCGGAGAGAAGACTCACCCTCATGGGAAGACACTGAGGAGCTCACCAGGGCAACCGTGGGTTTTTAGTTTAACCTACTGTACTGCCCTGAGCGTGAGGGTTTTGTGGGGGGGGGGACGCTGAAAAGTCATCGTCAGGTCAGTGAAGAGAGGACTACTGTTTTTAAGTTGCAAAAGCTGAGCTTCAGATCAACCAGACATGTCTGGGCTTCACAGGGTGAACTTTGAGAGAGAGAGAGAGAGACGAGAGAGAGAAGAAGAGAGAGAGAGAAGAGACAGAGAGAGAGAGAGTTGCAGCCAGGATGATTAAAGTGGAGATAGGCAGTGCATGTGTGGGTACATAGACATAATAGACATAACTAAAGTGTGTGTGTGTGTGTGTGTGTGTGTGTGTGTGTGTGTGTGTGTGTGTGTGTGTGTGTGTGTGTGTGTCTTCAATAAGGCGATGATGGATGATGGATGAAGGAGCCTCTCTGTGGGGGTTTGATTGGTGGTTATAACAGATTTCAGACTCTGTTTGACCCTGCTTAGCCCACAGTCTTAGATCATCACTTTAGATGCAGACAGCCTTCATCTCCTTCATCTCTTCCTTAAAGTTGGGCTGTAGTGTAGAGAGTCGTGTATTCAGAAGTCCTTTCCTGTGAGACTTCAACAACCCCTCTATAGGCCATTTGGTACAGAAGGTATATTTCTGATTCTACATTTATAGAAACTGAACGTCAATGACAGCCAGAAAAAATGATCTTGACT